CCTGGTCATTATGATCTGTGTTGACGATCTTGCCTCCCGGGAATGTGCAGGTCCTCCCAGTTCTGTGCTGGTCCGAACTAAGTAGGCTATTTTATATCTGTTAGTCTATGTTAACATGTGATTTATTACCATGTGTTGTATTTTCGCATAAACCTTGCCAGGACCTGCGATATCAAAAGTCTTACAGGCTTTTCAGGCGGTTTCCCCATTTCTGTATTAGTCATCATTTCATTGTACATAGGCTGTCAAGGACGGACATGTTCGCGTGTTTGTAAAGTGACTGTATTGATCTCGAATGGTAAGAAGTCGGGCACACATTTACACGAGCGGAGAGGACGGAACATACACTTTACGTGAAGCTGGGTGAAAGTACGCGTGTCAGCACGATTTGCAAGAGGTTATAAATGTATAAATGTTATAAAAGTATGTTGATTTTTATAGGAAGGTTTGTCTCATCTTCCATATTTTATTTGGTTCGTTAAGGCTGCATTTGATTCATTTTGATTGTATTATACCCACGAAAGAGAGGTGTTTACCTATCGTGTTTACCAGGTCGTTGACAATACCAACTGCGTCACAAAGGTAAATAAAACCACAAAGGTATTCTCCCTCTGTTCTTGGAAGACATTTCGGCACCCTTTGGATCCATGGATGTTGCACGATAAAACTGGCTTTTAAACACTTCCTGGATGTGGTAGTCATTTAAAGAATCCCTTCATTAACATATTTTAATGTGTTAAGACATGGACAAAATAATTCTGTTGTTGCTGAAAAAGACTATAAAAGACTGTACTGTATACGATTATAGATGTGGACTTCGCTGAAATAATATACAAATCGTGGTTATTCATAGATTAATGTATAGATTTCATTCATGATTGTGACCTGAAAAAATAAACCCTGGCATCATTGTCCTATTAGTCATCATTTTGATTGTACGTAACCTTTTTTAAAAGATCTACATTTGCAAAAAGACCTACATATTTTTAAAGAGACTGTATTGTTTTCGGTCTGAAAACGTATACAAAGGGAAAAAGGATGGATCGTACGTAATGTTGGCTGAGATTTGTAGAGAAGTGAAACAAACACTGCATTTGATCCAATTACAATTAAGTTTTATCCACGAAATGGAGGGGCACACGGTAGCTTACTTGTTTAGTATTTGATGTTTAGGCCTACAATTGTCATTTGCAAGAGTGGGCACGACTCACGATTTGGCGTTAAATAAAACCACAAAGATATTTTCTAGTTTTCTCTGAAGGCATTTTTTTCAACCCGTCTCGTGACCACACAGATTTTTTAAAACTACCTTAAAAACTTCCTGGTTTAGTTGGAATACTCCCAACTAATGTGTTATAGGACAATTCCCGCATTCACCAGCACATAAAAACATGTCCATTGTTGATTACACAAATAATCCGCTATTTCTGATGCTAAATAAAAGCCAAGAAATGACTCTCCCAGAAGACATTTTCCATTAAATTTTAGAAAAACTTTTAGTCTCTGTACCTGTGAATGCATTTCATTCAGATTCCGTTCACAAAAAAAGGAACAGATTTCGTTATTACGAAGCGTATAACGTTATCGGTAGTATATCCGGTTATCTTTTTCTGTATTCAGAAAACCACACACCCTTTATTTCTTTATTCAAATGTTTTCACCGTGCCGCCGACGCAAGCACTATCCAGAAATTATATACAGTGGCGGATTTGGGGGGGGGGGTGTCAGGGGGGGGGGGGTCCTGACCTCCCCCCTCACCCTTCTATTTCTGAAAAATTCACAACAATTTTCCCCTCTTCAAATTAGAATTTTGACTAGCTAAATCATAGTTCTAAACCGTATCAAATGGTACCGTTCGCCCTGTAAAATACCAGCAGACCTCGAACCCGACGCCGGGGGAAATGGCGGGGGGTGAGCTTTGCCTCCGTGCCCCCCCTCAAATAATCCTGGATCCGCCCCTGATATATAATAAAAATCATTGACGTGTTTCTTCTGTAAGATCATATACAGATCAGTCACGTGAGATAGGGATATTATCAGATATTATAGATTACTTTAAATGTCATCATGCCCTCCATCAATTGGCGGCTAGGTGAGTACCATAGGCGGTATATATCACCTGCTTGTATTAATTGTAGGGCTTCAATAGCTACGCTGAACATAGTCTTATCGTCCGGTCCTGTGTTTGGCGATATCCCATCACGCTCGTAATAATAATAATAATAATAATAATACTAATAATAATAATAATAATAATAATAATAATAAATTTATTTTGAGTCTAAGATCCATGAGAACATGTTCAGAAGACTTTACATAAAGGCCATGAGTGCTGCTCGTCCAACCTTTAAAACGTGATTCCCCACACGTTTGAAACCTTGTGTTGTTTACCACGCATTTAGATAAAGGGTCAAGGTTTATGATTATTTGTTTGTGAGCTTGTAAAACGCACGTTTCCGCCTCGGGCTTATTGTTTATTTTATTCAGTTGAGTTGAGGCGCTGAGGTTGCTGAGCAGGCTCGCTATTTATACCTTTTCGAGTTACAGCATTTTTTATTGCCCGTATGTCCTCCGTGTTTATATTGTTTCCTGTGATTTCACTACAATTTATGTCGATAAATATGAACGAATATTCTTTGAGATGTTCCTTGTAATTTCTTGATATGCATCACCTTTTTTATTATAAATGCCTAACACATAACGTAGATAGCGCTTTTTGGGGTGCAACAGTTGAACTGAGCAGTGTCCAGTACTTAAGATTCTCTCAATCGTTGGAAAAAAACAGGGCTTACCTGTGCATAAAAGGACAGATATCATTTACATTATCAGTCTATAATTTTTTAATTGAACAAGTGAAACTATCTCATTTTGCTCTCTCACGCTCCAGAGAGTCACTGCAATTGTCGGTAACCTTTAACCTCAGCATGGCACCTCTTTTGACATTTTAATACCCACGGACTTGAACCATTTTCCTATCAGTGCTTGAGTGGTTTGATAGACCCCCAGTTAACACGTGTAAAAGAGTAGATTATTTGTCTAAATGTATATTTGGCATAGGCGTCTTGAGCAAAATAACAAAAACTTTTTTCTAGTTTTTCTCGGAAGGAAATTTACACCTTTTGTATCGTGTTGTTCAAATTACCCAACGATTGATCAGATACTTAAAAAANAACGATTGATCAGATACTATAAAAATACCTACGGTTTTTTATCATTTCTTCCTCGTTGTCATATTCTTAAGAGAAGTGCGTTTCTTTTATTTTGAAAACATTCCCACGTCATCAACATATGAAAACGCTTTTTATTTTTGCTTATGAACTTGAAAGACATTGTTCCATCTTTTGTATGGAAAACTTGTTTGTCAAAGATCACTTTTCGTGTGTTGAATTTGATTTATTTCACCTTTTGTGTCGCGTGAATGCTTGTTTCCCTTCATATCAACAAATGAAAGCGCGTTTTTTATTACAAATGACTAGCACATAACGTAAATAACGATGTTCAAGTTGGGGTGTAACAGATGCACTGACCAAAACCCAATCTTACAGTATCAGTTTGAAATATTTTAATGAAGAAAGGAACTACCAAATCTCTCTCTCTCCCTCTCTCTCTCCCTCCAGGGAATCACTGCGATTTTCGGTAGCCTTAAACCTCAGCGTAGCTCCCCTTATTTTCCTATTGGCATTTGGGTGTTTTGATAGACTCCCTACAAACGTGCAAGGGAGCAGATTATATATATATATATATTCTTTTGCAAAAAAAGAAAGACATTTTTTTCTAGTTTTCTCGGAAGGAATTTTACACCTTTTGTATAGTTTGAATATTTAATAAAATTACCTAATGATTAATTAGGTACTTAAAAAGTACTTAGAGATTTTAGCATTTCTTCCTCGCTGTCATGTTCTTAAAAGCAGGGCGTTTTTTTTTCAAAAACATTCCCACTTCATCAACATTAAAACTCACGTTTTATTTCTGCTTATGAACTTGGAAGACATTAATCTACCTTTTGTATCGAAAACTTGTTTGTCAAAGATCACCTTACGTGCGCTGAATTTAGTTTATTTCACCTTTTGTGTCGTGTAGATGTTTGTTCATATTACCTAACTATTGATCAGATACTTAGAAAACACTTATTGATTTTGCCATTTCTTCCTGGTTGATGTTCTGAATAGCAGCGCGGGATATTTAGAAAACATTCCAACCTCATCAACATATGAAAGCGCGTTTTATTTCTGCTTAAAAACTTGGAAGACATTGTTCCATCGAAAACTTGTTTGTCAGAGATCAATCCCGTGCCTTTTATTTGGTATACTACAGCTTTTGTTTTGTATGGGTGTTTGGTAAAATTGCCCAACTATTGATCTTACTTTAAAAGCACTTAAGGTTTTTACCGTTTCTTCCTGGTTGTCGAAAATATACCCTTGATCTCGTTTTAGTTCTGCTTAAAAACTTGGAAGACATTAATGCATCTTTTGTATCGAAAACTTGTTTATCAAAGATCACTTTTCGAGCGCTGACATTGGTTTATGTCACCTTTTGTGTCGTTTAGATGTTTGTTCATATTACCTAACTATTCATCAGATACTTAGAAATCACTTATGGATTTTGCCATTTCTTCCTGGTTGATGTTCTGAATAGCAGCGCGGGATATTTTGAAAACATTCCAGCCTCATCAACATATGAAAGCTCGTTTTATTTCTGCTTAAAAACTTGGAAGACATTGTTCCATCGAAAACTTGTTTGTCAGAGATCACTCCCGTGCCTTTTATTTGGTATACTACAGCTTTTGTTTCGTATGGGTGTTTGGTAAATTGCCCAACTATTGATCTTACTTTGAAAAATACTTAAGATTTTTACCATTTCTTCCTGGTTGTCGAAAACATACCCTTGATCGCGTTTTATTTCTGCTTAAAAAATTGGAAGACATTGTTCTATCTTTTGTATCGAAAACTTGTTTATCAAAGATCACTTTTCGTGATGGCTGCAGCCATAAAAAGGAGAGTACGTCCAGCTCGCAGCAGACGGCGAACTCGATCGGTCGGAAAAAGTAAGGCCTTGAATGCTGCTCTCTGCTAGAAGAATTTTGTTATATTTTCAAGATGTTGCCAACAATCAGTGAAAAGTCTGCCGAATCCGGCGTGACAGTCATCACAGATGGCGGGTCCTCTCGACGTGACAGCGCCGAGGTAAGTCTTTCAACTTAGTTTAGGCCAGGGATTCTTTATTCTAACTTGATTCATTCCACAAAAAGTGAACATTTCAGTTGCGTCAGTGATGCATTTGCGTTGCTTTTGTTTTCAATATTTATCGTTTTTCTTTTTCTTTTTTTTCTTCGGGTAGTAAATGCCCACTTTTTAGCCTTGCAATGTTGTAAAATAAATTTGTCAAAAAGACCATGTTTTTATCTAAAATCCAAGTGTGACAATGTTTATTCACCAACATGTGCGAGGGGGGTTCATTCCTCTTTTTATTTTAGCGAGTTAAGTTTTTAAAGCGCTTCAAATTATTCTGTAAAGCAAACAGTTTGGCTTAAGCAGATATTTAGACATTTTCATTTCTGAAAAGACAGTCATCCGTCCGGCATTTGCTTATTTTCAGAGCACTGGGTCTCGAGTTTCTCTATGAAGGAATCGGCATCTTTATTCAATAATAAATTGCATGCATGGCAAGAGCTAAGTTACTGTAAATTATTTTAAGTTAGATTTCACACAAATCTAATATGGAATTTTCATATTTTGACGAAATTACCATGCTGGAAATGGTGAATATAATTTCGCCAAAACACTTTACAACACAGTTGGTGATGCGAATTATATTATATTCCAAATCCTTTTGTTCCAATTTATCTTTTAATTTGTTGTATTTCAGACCAAGGCGTCGTACAAGAAGTACATCATTGTTGCTGTTGCTGTCATTGTTGTTGTTGCTGTTGCTGTCGGTGGAACGCTGGGAGCAGTTCACATCTCTAACAAGGCAGCACAAGATGTGTGGAAGGTGGGTATACGGTATCACTAAAAAGAGGGTGATTATTATTATTCTTATAATCATCATCATTAAAAACATTTTTGCTAATTGTCATTTATGACACAAACATATCACTTTAGTAGAAGCTTAAATCTATTTAAAAAGACCTAGTTGGAAAACATATCGATATTCTGTTGGAAAACGTATCGATAGTCTGGTTTTAAGGGAAGTCGGTTGAATTATATGCAAAGAAATGAGCGATCAAAACCAACGATCTCATCACCATCACCATCATCACCTTATATGATTATTATTATTTCTTCAGGAGTACCATCTCCGTTTAACTGACAAGCAAGGGAACAAAGTTGACGAAAAGGTTCAGGTTGACCTGAAGGACAACATCACCGTGTACAACGTGAACAACGAGAAGTTCCACGTTGCCATGGACAACTCAAGGGTGAGTAGAGACGGTTATTGCAAAAACGTCTAAACTTTATTAAAGCAAGCTTATTTTACTCTGCCAGAATGTAAATAATGTTTATTACCCATAAGCTGATATGCATAAAAATTACTGAATTCTGTGTGGAAACTTTTCTACACAGTAAAATCAGTGTTTAGCTTTTAAACACATATAACACACATTTATCACCTAAACGCGGTTAGAAATATGCATAAAAGCTCAACACGTATAGCCTTTCAAGCTTCTCACAGAAGAAAATGCTAGACATGTTTAGCAGTGTTACAAGTAGAGCCATGTGTTTAGCTTCACCGGTGTATTATTCTATAATAAGTTTATCGCAAGGCTAAACACATGGGCAAAACAAAATAACACAGTATGGCACAATAAAACATCTATCGAGATGGCTAAATAATGACCATATAATTACCTGCTAAATGTAACAATTCAAGCATCAATATCAATAGCATACATACATGTGTTTCATTACGCTGCTTATGTATTTGCTTGATCATAAACTTTTGTAAAAATGTGCTAGAACTTAATTATAAGGATTATCAATTTTTATTATCATGAACAATCCTGTTGTGTTTGGCACACAGCACCTAGGGGTTGAAGCAGGGATAAAGTTTTTGGTCTGGCAGAGAGAGATATTTCCGTTTGCTAGCGTTCAGCGCTCCGTACGGCGTGCTGGGCTATAACCTCCAGATTGTATCAGGGCCAATTGCAAATGCGCTGAGACGCATCAGTAGAGCAGTGTATAAGAAGTGAAGTGTCAAGTTCTTTTAATTTTCGTGTTTTAGGTGCAAATAAAGTTTTTTCTTGGATATTTTTTTATTATGTTTATAAACCTGTTTTTTAAATCAATTTGGTCGATAAAAAAGAACACTTTCAAGTATTCAGTTGAAATATTCTATCATTTAAGCAACAATGCATTTCCGGTTTTTTATCTTTTCAGAGTCTTGTAGTATACAAGATGGAAATGAACAACAAGTTTGCTTGTTACTTGACTCCAATGAACAAATCTGAAGAGACTGACAGCAAGGGCGTGGCCAGCGCTTTGGAACAACCGGTATGATGTACCTGATTTCTATTCGGACTTTGAATCGGAGTTTACATCTTTTCGTATACGTTACCCTTAATTACGTTTAAAGATAAAAAGTGACATTTTAAGATGAAAATGGTGCAAGATTTGAATAAAACCGTTACCTAACCTATACCATCATATTATTAGAACACCGTTGAAAATACGACAGATGAAGATATTGAACAAAAGCGATTCGTTGCCAACACTTCTCCGATCAAGGACAAGTCCTTCCTCAGTCCCAGAATGCAGGAATTCTGCAGGGATTTGGAGGCATACTGGCTTACCCAGAAAGACGAAAGTACTACAGATGGCGTCAGCACCCAAGCACCGACAGGTACGCACAAGATTAATCTATTAAATGTTAACCATTACACGGTGCAATACGTACATGTACAACAGGGCCAGAGCAGTAAATTCATTGATTACTTTGTATATAGTGTGAAAAGGGCATTGAATGTGAGGTTTTGTCTCGATTTTCGCTTATTATATTATATTATATTATATTATATTATATTATATTATATTATATTATATTATATTATATTATATTATATTATATTTCAGGAGGTAATCGCCAGAAGCGAGCTTGCTACTGGCGCCGTTGCTTGAGGCTAAGACGCTACTGCTACTATTTCGGTTATTATCGGTATTGCTATTACAGATACTATTATGGTTGGTGTGTCAGATGCTACAGGGGTAAATAAACTTCAGGGCAAGATATGTTTATCACATGGCTTACTGTATAGGGTCATTAAAACTTTTCAAATTTAATTATTATATCCAAGAATATTTCGAAACCACGCATGTAAAGGTCACTTAGTGCAAGAGACTTTGACTTTTGAGAAAATCCTTTCTGAGGTCCTTAATCAGCGTCTGTTTTTCATTATGTGTGTTCTTTTTTAATAAAAGCCCAAGTATGCATTTTTGTATGTTAAGCGTCATAACAAAAACAGTAAAACCATTATCCCAGATGGCAGTTACATGTAGTGATGCTCCTTTTATAAATGCTTCTTTTGCTGTTTGCTTTATAATCGAAAAATGAGTTAAGGAATTTGATTGACAATGACGAACTGTTTGGAAAGGTGTTAATTTTTTAAGGGATTTAAAAAAATTATTTACGGAATTGTATTTGAAGTGGTTATAAAAGTAAATCATATTTAGGATGTAAGGACCACATGCTACATGTACTACTACAGAATGGTGAATAAGAAAATCGCTTCTGCAGTTCTTAATCAGGGACCTTGTTTTGTTATTAATTAATTCCACGCGTGCATTTTGGTGTGTTCATTGTTACGTCGGAAATTATTATTCTAGATTATTGTTAATTATACATCTTTTAGTTGTGTTTCCTTTGACTTGATGTTTGCTTTGTATCCGAAAAATGAATAAAAGAGTTAGAAAGTCAGTACCATGACGTTTTGCTAAGTTGTTACCATAGTTCTTTAATGGCTTTTATTTATTTTCGCGTGTTAAATGAAACCGCAAATAATTTTTTTTTTCAGTTTTCGTGGAAGGCATTTCCCCTCCATTGTTTCGTATCCAAGGAGGTTTAAATTACCTAAAGAGTAGCACTTGATTGATCATAATATGCATATATATCACTGGAGGTCTTTTTTATTCATTTCTGTTTCTATTTTTTTCGTAGTCCCTTTAATGTCTACACAATATGTAGATATCAGCAAGTTTCTTGACGTTGGGTAACCTCGCTGAATGAGTTGATATGGAATGACCCTAAAGACAATAAGAGCACCAGAAACAGTGTCCGAAACACCACAAGATTTATAAAAAGTCCCGCCACGTTCGTCCTCGCCTTAAAATGTGAATCCTGACACGTTTGAAACCTTGAGTTGTTTGCCACGCATTTAGTTGATGGGTCAAGGTTAATGGTTATTTTTGTGTTTGTGAGTTTGTAACATGTATGTGTCCGCCTCGGGCTTATTGTTTATTTTACTCAGTGTTCAGTTTCTTTATAAAACGCATGCCATCACCTACTTCGTGCCAGGAAGTGTCATACAACATAGTATCATTATGTATCATCATCTTAATGTCTGTTGCCTTTTATGGATTCATTCCGTATTTTCGTCGAAACTTATTTGAAAATTATTTAATGAGAATTTGGTTATTTTAAGCCTTTGGTTAGTTTTTCTCAATTTATTTTCTGTTTACAACGCAAAATTATATACTGCCATGCAATTATTTCATCAGTCACGCCCTTTATTTTGGCACTGTTGATATGACAGCAACCCACAAGTTATCAAGATCAAGATCAATATATTTTATTTAAGTGTCACAAAAAAAAAAAGAAAAAAAAAAAGAAAAAAGAAAATATAAAAAAAAAAGAAATACAAATTTAGAACAATAAAACATGGCAGTTTTATATAGAAATACGAGAGACTGACTATCACTTAAAATATACTTGAAAACATCATTTATAAATAAAATTATTTCTAGAAATCTTTAGAAAGTTTTGGCAACTAAATTAATCATATCACTTCTAATCAAAAATAAATTCTTGTCGTTACCATTTAAGAAACCAAAATTGTTATTAAAACGTCTGGCATTATTAAACAATTCACCACGTTCATCAGTAAAGAAGAATAATTAACTAAAACGCTATTTATATATATCGAGTTACAATTTTTTACTGTCCGTATGCATGGCACTTCTCATTTGATTGAAGTTGACCTTTTTTCTCGAAAGAAATATATCACTGGACAACAATGCATTCTTTTTTAATTCATAAACAAGATTTTTCGTTAAGAAGTTGAGTACCTGTCAGCTATGAAGGGAATACATACAGCCTGCCCTGCTATGTGGTACAAGGTTCCGGTCCCAATCTGGTGGGGTGTGACTGGATACAAGCTATTGCCCCGCACTGGCCACCTATATTCAAGGTATCTTCAGAGGACTACCCTGCAAAATTCCCACAACTATTCAGTCATGGACTTGGGAAGTTAAATAACATGGATGCCAAACTATATGTTGATGAAAACGCTGTTCCTGTATACTGTAGGCCACGTCCAGTCCCACTGGCTATGACAGGCAAGGTGGAGGCTGAGCTTGAACGCCTTGTGGCTGATGGAGTTTTTACGTCCAGTACAACAAGCAGCACCCATTGTTCCCGTCTTGAAACCCAATGGAGTAATTTCGCATTTGTGGTGATATAAGCTGACCATTAACACAGCATCCAGAGTGAAACAATATCCAATTCCCAGTATTGAGGACTTGTATGCCAGTTTATCTGGAGGTCAGTACTACTCAAAACCTGAACTGAGTCATGCCTACCAGCAAATTGTAAGTGGCTCTTCAAACTCCAATTTCAATTTGATCCCAGCACCGCCTACTAGCACTACACCAGAGGAAAATCACCAGCTCTTTGCTTTTCTCGACAATGGAACCCTAGTCACCAGTGACTCACTGGTGTAAGTCAAGAATACAGGCACGTGAGATGATCAAAGAGGCCTCTGAGGAGCTAAGAGTAGAGCTAAGAGGTCGATTGGACAGTTTTATCTTTAAGTTACCAATCACAAGAGAGATTCAAACTATCACACCGGCCTATACTTTACTCATAGAGACATCTAACGGTAGCAATATAAAACATTCTCAACTAACACATTACATCGTCACAAAATGTACATTGTACTTAAGGAATCGACAAAATTAAACGTATTTTTATTTTAAGAAGCCAAATTTAACCTGAGTACTATTATAATAAGTCAGCTAGGTAAGTGATTAAATGTTAGCATGTTACAGAAGAGTTACATAAATATGGTAACATTTTGCTGCAGATTCCGTCTAGCCTGCAGACAAAGTAAAAAAAAGGAAATTATAATAGAAAGTCTATCTAGATAATAATCAATTTTATTGGTTCTAGCCTATTATTTACAAAAAAAAAAAAAAAAAAAAGGATGTGACCTTACAATGATACATCACTATAATGACATATGCTTATTAGTAAAGAAAACCTTTATATAGAAAATACTGCTAGTACATATATGTAATATATTAGGTTGAAGATTGAAGACTGCGTGATATGTATCCGATTGACAGGAATGGTAGTCCGGTGAAAACTGTAGTCATTTCCCCATTACTTTGTACAGGTAACATTCGTCCCATATACTAACCTCAATACTCCAACTAACCCTAACCTGTTCTAATCAGATGGGAGCCCGGAATTCCATTCCTTCATTGTAGGACTACTAAATAAGTACAATTTATCGTTAAGCGGTTATTGGTCCAACTTGACAATGATCGCTATCTTAAGCAGAAGAGTAAATTACGTAAATCTACATGAATAGTAATCCTATAACTACCATTCCTGTCACACCGGTATCACCAGTACTTTTACAATGCGTAAATAAAGCCTGTTTGGAAAACACGCATACTAGCTGAGGCTGTATATATTTTATTTACATACCTAGGTGATGTTATGGTAGTCTCAAGTTTGATGACATTCTCTTTCTAAATTATTTAGATACATACATGTATCTGGAGAGTGCCTTTCCTACTGGTATTATAGCGCGTATTTCTGTATTCCCAGCTTTTAGATCGATCTATCCCTGTGGGGAGTCTCACTAGATTACTGTCAGCTTAGCCGACTTAAGCATCTGTCCCGCCTACTAAAAGCTGTAAAGGGGTAATTAACTATGGTGCGCGCTCGGCTAACTGCAATTTAGCGTGAACCCCCAGTGAGTTAGGTCGATCTAAATCTTAATCCCTGGATCGATCTTAATCGCTGGGAATACACCCTAATGCTGTATTCCCAGCTTTAAGATCGATCTATGCCCGCGGGGAGTCTCACTAGATTACTGTCAGATAATCCGGCTTTAATGTCCGTCCCGCCTACTACAAGCTGTAAGGGGGTAATTATCTTTCGTGTCTGCTCGGCTGACAGCTATTTAGCGTGAACCCCCAGGGAGTTATGTCGATCTAAATAGATCGATCTAATCTCTGGAAATGGGGTCTTAATGTCATCATTCTTAATAGCTTTACCACCTCTGTGGAGGGTATGGGCCCTATAGCTGCTCTATCAAGCGTGTCTTCAGTTAAGCTGATTACACTCAGCGAGCGTACCCGCAGCGATGGATTAATCTACGCAGGCCAACAGTGCCCATGGGGAATGGGGGTATTTCCCCGACAGTTCATCACATTAAAAGAAAAAACATCGAGAACGTCTCTTTCTTATTACTTTAAAAGATCATGAAATACTAATTTATGAAGTCAATTGAAATGACAATGATACAGGTGCGTATCTGAAGGTAGACATCTTTTGTTCACTGTGACAGTGACTAATAATTCCCCCGCGGCCGGGGTACCTGTAAGGATGCAGACATAGGACAAACTTTGGATATACTGAAAGAAATAACAATAATAATAATTTATTTATTCTAAGTCTAAATTCCTGTAGATTTTTCAATAAGTGCAATTATGTGCAGTACATATACATGTATAGCAGTTCGACGTCTGGTCATTACGATCTGTGTTAACGATGTCGCCTCCCGGGGGACCTACACTTCAATGAATGTGCAAGGGGGGGGGGCGGCTTTGCTTCCGCGGCAGGTCATTCCTGAAAACCGGACTTCCCTTAAATTATTCTGGATCAGCCCCTGTCACGAAGAGAAGTGTGCACCTAATGCGTTTACCAGGGTTCCGTAACTCGAAAGCATCGCGCATTGCGACCGAACGCAAGCGTCTCTATTCCATAACTTTTCCATACTCACCCCATATATATAATACATTGCAGCCTCTTTGTGATGTCGCTATATTCGCAATACGCGATGCTTTCGAGTTACGGCCCGGGGCCCTGGTCGTTTTTTAACAAAGATGATAATACCAATTGCGCGTCAAATAAAACCACAAAGGTATTTCCCCCTGTTCTTGGGAGGGATTTCTTTATCCTTTGGCTCGCATCCATGGATATTTGCATGCTTAAACTGACTTTTAAAAACTTCTTGGTTGTGCCAGTCTTAAGTCATTAAAAGTATCTTAGTTAGCATATTTTAATATGTTAAAACATGGCAGGGGCGGATCCAGAGTTATTTTCTGACAGTCTTCCAAATTATCTCTGATGATCCATCCTCCCTTTTTGACCGTCTTCCAACAGAAAAAATTAGATACCCGTCAATGTAAACTTGAAAATCTGAACTTCTTCTCATGTGCTTATATTTTTTAAGAGGCTTTTTTGTTTACGACTAGAAAAATGGCTCGTATGCATGGTCAAAAAGGACGGATCGTAGATAATGATGGCTGAGATTGGTAGAAAAGTGAAACGAAAATCATATTGAAATTTCTAGGAAAGTTTGTTTCATCCTTCATATCTTACAATTGTTTGTTTTAACAAACACTGCATTTGATCCAATTTTAATTAAGTTTTATCCACGAAAGGAGGGACACACGGTAGTTTTATTTGTTTAATAGGGCCTACTTGATGGTGTTTATAATTGTCATTTGACTCACGATTTCGCATTAAATAAAACCACATAGATATTTTCTAATTTTCTTGGAAGGCAATTTTTTCAACATGTCTCACGATTTTATCACCTGTTTGTATTTTAATTAAAATTGTAGGCCTTCAACAGCTGCCCTCAAACATAGTCTTATCGTTCAGTGCTGTGTTTGCCGAAGTCCCCTCACGTTCGTCCTCGCTTTAAAACGTGACTCCTCACACGTTTGAAACGTTATGTTGTTTGCCACACACTTAGATGACGGGTCAATTTTTATTTTTGTGTTTGTGAGCTTGTAACACGTGCGTGTCCGCCTCGGAATATTGTTCATTTTACTCAGTGTTCAGTTTCTTTATAAAACGCATGCCATCACCTATTGCGTGTCAGAAAGTGTCATGCAACATAGTATCATTATCTATCATTATCTTAATGTCTGTTGCCTTATATGAATTCAGTCGTCCGCCTTTTCGTCGAAACTTATTTGAAAATTATTTAATGGGTACTTGGTATTTTTCAGCCTTTTGTTCGTGCTTCTCAATTTTTTCCGTTAAAACGCAAAATTATATACTGCCACGCATCTCTTTCATCAGTCACGCCTTTTATTTTGGCACTTATGACTTATGACAGCAACCCACAAGAAACCAAGTTCAAGATCAAGATCAAGATCAAGATTGAAGTGTCACCCATAAAAAAAGAAATAGGCCTACAAATTGAAAACAGTAAAACATAGCAGTGCTATATAGAACTACGATAGACTGAATATCACTTAAAATATACATAAAAACATCATTTATAAATAAAATTCCTTCTAGAAATCGGCAGCAAGTTTTGGCAAATAAATTATTCATATCACTACTAATCAAAAATAAATACTTATTGTTATCATTTAAGAAATCAAAATTGTTATTAAAACGTCTGGCAATGATTAAAAAATCACCACGTTCATCAGTAAAAAAAGCTAAACTTTAGCTTAACTAAAATCCACTTATCAAGCAATATACAGGTTCTTTCCACAATACCTAGTTTTTATATCCACCCGTTTCTATTAGAAGTGAGGCCACCCCACACCTCACCTTAGCAAGTAGCCTACACTTCGATGTTTAATTGACAACGATGGTTTTTTGACATAACTACTTACTTCTAGATCTTCTTTAAATAATCTAAGCAATCTTAGTTTATTTCCCCCGCCGTTACTACGGGAAGTGTCGTCCCATAACTTAGCAAACCCTTTCCCTCTACCAGGGTCGCATATTGATTTTTCACTAGATATTAACAGATATGTCTCTTGTTAAATAGATGGCTAATCTCTGTACTGTGCCTCAGCAAAAATGTCCATAGAATAATAACTGCGGCCCTGATAGAGGGTAGAAAACCCTGACTGCAGTCAGAGATGCGTACTGCAGCAGCAAACACCTCAAACAGTCAATTGCGTAAGCCTTGGAGATAAGAAAGTCGGTTAAACACAAGTGGTCCGCTCCATGGTCATTAAATTTAATTGTGACTCAATTTATCCAATTTATTTGCCATAATTAGATACTTTTAAATTCAAATAGTGATTGATAGTTTTGTAATTACCTTTTCTTCGAAATCCGTTGTGGTTGCTGATTAGGCACGCTATTTATGACTTTTCGAGTTACAGTGTTTTTTTTACTGTCCGTATGCATGGCACGTCTCTTTTGATTTACGTTAAACTTTTTTCTCGAAAGAAATATATCACTAGACTACAATGCATTCTCCTTTAATTCTTACACAAGATTTTTCGTCAAGAAGTTGAGACCACTTTAGGGGCTAAAGTTTTTTTCGTGAAACCAGCTCTTGTTGAAACAATTGCTGTGTGGCTGACTACCTGTAGAAGCGAACAGCTTACCAATTTGAAGAGAAATAATTCTGGACATTGCATTATGTGTCTAACCAAATAGCCCGCTCACATTTATCCGTGAATGTCCCAAGTGGTTTCTTAAATAAATGAATAAATAAATTTTATCACTTCAAACATTCTTATGCTAACTAGTTCTGAAAAGAGTTTATTTAGCCAATTATGAAAATAGGAAATCATTTTCCTTTTGGAGCAAGTTTGAAAATATACAGAGATCAAATTAAAATGCGTCACTGCACTTGGATGAAAGTANACACCTGTTAACACAGTAATGTAAGTCCATTTGAAAGTCCTATACTTACGCAATAATAAGGTTTAATGATACAATTATAAATGTATATGAAATCCTTCTGGTGAGCCATATATCAGAGAAAAAATTAGTGGTTTGCAACTTCAGCTCGTCTGTGTAGTGGTTAGCGTGCAAGTCCGTAAGGTAAGTATTCATGAATCGGTTTGTTACATCTTTGGGTTCGAAACCTACCTTTGACATGACTTTACCCCCCTCACCCCCCCTCACCCCCCGAGGGCAGAATGAGGCACATATTACATCCTGGTCATCCACTGGATCCACATTCCATCTCCAGTCGTATTGACCTGTCATGCTCGACACTACCCTAGTCAGCATACCGCAGCTTATGGGGGCCCTAAATAAGCGGTCGACATACAAAGAAGAAAATAAGGAAATGAAATTCAAGGAGTACCCCACTGATCTTTGCCACATGTAATGTGTACGCTCCTGAACAGTTAGGACAGAACTGGTTGTCAAGCTCGCTGGCCCATCAAAAGGTATAAATGATCGCCTGATGACCTTGAGACTCCCTTTCTGTACAGGAAAGAAGTTTCCCACCATTGTATCATGCGCCCACTGTAACATGAAAAGCTGACTCCCATGAAAATGTGACTCCCCAGTCAGATTTTCATTATGAANTTTTTTCTTTCATGTACGTCCGCCATATTTAGTTCCAGGATTTGTAAAGCCATGGCTCAACTCGTTGTGAATGCGATCTTAGGTTACTGGCTCATAATTAGGGTAAGTAGGACTTGTATTACTGTCGGACTTTTATTCCTGTTACAGTAATGTAAGTACGGCCATTTGAAAGTCCTATACTTACGCAATAATAAGGTTAAATGATACAATTATAAATGTATATGAAATCCTTCTGGTGAGCCAAATATCAGAGAAAAAATTAGTGGTTTGCAACTTCAGCTCGTCTGTGTAGTGGTTAGCGTGCAAGTCCGTAAGGTAAGTATTCATGAATCGGTTTGTTACATCTTTGGGTTCGAAACCTACCTTTGACATGACTTTACCCCCCTCCCCCCCAGAATGAGGCACATAGTACATCCTGGTCATCCGCATTCCATCTCCAGTCGTCTTGACCTGTCATGCTCCACACTACCCTAGTCAGCATACCGCAGCTTATGGGGGCCCTAAATAAGCGGTCGACATACAAAGAAGAAAATAAGGAAATAAAATTCAAGGAGTACCCCACTGATCTTTGCCACATGTAATGTGTACGCTCCTGAACAGTGAGGACAGAACTGGTTGTCAAGCTCGCTGGCCCACCAAAAGGTATAAATTATCACCTGATGACCTTGAGACTCCCTTTCTGTACAGGAAAGAAGTTTCTCACCATTGTCAGTGCCTATGCGCCCACCATGACCAACCCAGATGAGATCAAAGAAAAGTTCTATGTGGACATTGATGCTACCATCAACTCAGTTTCCAACACAGACAAGCTCTTTATACTCGGCGACTTGAACGCCAGAGTCGGCAGTGACCTCACTACATGGGAAGGGGTGGTTGGGAAGCATGGGATCGGCAACTGTAACACCAACAGACTGATGCTTCTCCAGACATGTGCCGAGCACAACTTTCTGATCACAAACACCATCTTTAGCCTCCTCACCCGCAACAGGACATCATGAATGCACCCACGCTCAAAGCATTGGCAACTCATCGACTTTGTCATCATCAGGAAGAGAGACAGGTAGGACATACGGGTCACTAAGGCAAAGTGTGGTGCAGAGGGCTGGTCCGAACTAAATATTTTATATCTGTTAGTCTATGTTTACATGTGATTTATTATCATGTACTGTATTTTCGCATAAACCTTGCCAGGATCTGCGATATCAAAAATCTTACAGGTCCTCTGGCTTTTCACGCGGTTTTCCCATTTCTGTATTAATCATCATTTCATTGTACATAGGCTGTTAAGGACGTGTTTGTAAAGTGACTGTACTGATCTCGAATGGAAAGAAGTCGGGCGCATATTTACACGAACGAAAAGGACGAAATATGGGTGAAAGTACGAGTACCAGCACGAGATGTAAATGAATCGACAAATCGATGTTTAATCGTATAGGAATGTTTGTTGTTGTTTCGAATTTGGTTCGTTAAGGCTTCATCTGTTTTATTTTGATTGTATTTCACCCACGAAAGAGAGGTGTTCGCCTAACGCGTTTACCAGGTGTTCTTGTCTTTTTTTTCTGATAAAAATTATAATACCAATTGCGCGTCAAATAAAACCACAAAGTATTCCCCGTGTTCTTGAAAGGCATTTCTTCATCCTTTGGCTCGCATTCATGGCTGTTTGCATGATAAAACTGACTTTTGAAAAACGTCCTGGTTGTGACAGTCTTAAGTCATAAAAGATATCCCTTAATTAACATAGGTTATTTTAATTAAAATTATTTTAATTAAAATTGTAGTTTTATCCACGAAAGGGAGGGACACACGGTAATTTTATTTGTTTAGTACTTGATGTTTAGGCCTACAATTGTCATTTGCAAGAGTAGGCGTGAGTCACGATTTCGCGTCAAATAAAACCACATAGATATTTTCTAATTTTCTAAGGCAATTTTTTCAACATGACTCACGGTTTTAGCACCTGTTTGTATTTTAATTAAAATTGTAGGCCTTCAACAGCTGCCCTCAAACAAAGTCTTATCGTTTGGTGCTGTGTTTGCCGAAGTCTCCTCATGTTCGTCCTCGCTTTAAAACGTGACTCCTGACACGTTCGAAACCTGTTGTTGTTTGCCACGCATTTAGATAACGCGTCAAGGTTAATGATTATTTTTGTGTTTGTGAGCTTGTAACACGCACGTGTCCGCCTCGGTATATTGTTTATTTTACTCAGTGTTTAATTTCTTTATAAAATGCATGCCATCGCCTACTGCGTGCCAGGAAGTGTCATGCAACATAGAATCATTATGTGTAATCACCTCGATGTCTGTTGCCTTTTATGGATTCATTCGTCTGTGTTTTCGTCAAAACTTATTTGAAAATTATTTAATGGGTACTTGGTATTTTCAGCCTTTTGTTCGTTTTTTCTCTATTTTTTCTGTTAACAACGTAAAATTATATATTGCCACGCATCTCTTTCATCAGTCACGCCTTTTATTTTGACTCTGATGATATGAACCACAAGTAATCAAGATATTGTATTGAAGTGTCACCCATAAAAAGAGAAATAAAATTAAGAACAGTGGCATTTCTATATAGAACTACGAGATACTGAATATCACTTAATACCGTGTATATACATGGAAACATCATTTATAAATAAAATTCCGAAATAAAAATAAAAAAGTCTAGAAATCGGCAGCAAGTTTTGGCAACTAAATAAATCATATCACTACTAATCAAAAATAAATACACACAATGGATAATAGAAGTGTCACCCCTACTGAACCAATACTTTGGAGGAGATAAATGACTGTGGAATGATATGCTCCTGGTATCATTTTATTAACATCAAATTTCACACACACAAAAAAATGTAGACCAGGCATTATAACTACTCAAGATCCAAGATCTGCCTACTTTGTCAATTGATTACTTGATTATTATTTGATTACTCTGATTCAGGGGGTGACACTTGTATTGTCCATTGTGTGTACTTGTTATCATTTAAGAAATCAAAATTGTTATTAGAACGTTTAAGTTTTTAATTTCACCACGTTCATCAATAAAAGAGAGATAGTTAACTAAAATCCCCTTATCACACAATGCACAGGTTCTTTTCTCAAAATAGCTAGTTTTTTTCATATCGACCCGTTTCTATTCGAAGTGGGGCCACCCAACACTTCGATGTTTAATTGACAAAAATGTTTTTTGCCATGACTACTTACTTCTAGACCTTTAAACAATCTGAACAATCTAAGTTTATTTCCCCCACCATTACTACAGGGAGTGACGTCCCATAACTAAGCATACCAGTCAGAGCGGCGTTTTGCAGCAGAAGACACCTTAACACAGTAAATTATGTAAGCCTACGAAATAAGAGAGTCGGTTGAAGACTAGCGGTGCGCTCCAATGTCATACAGGTAATATTTACTTCCAACTCTGGTTAGCCGTTTTTTGCTATAATTAGATACTTTTAACTCAAATATTGATTGATAGTTTTGTAATCACCTTTTCTTCGAAATTCGTTGTGGTTGCTGATCATGACTATGCACGCTATTTATACCTTTTCGAGTAACAGTGTTTTTTTTGACCGTCCGTATGCATGGCACTTCTCATTACGTTGAAGTTTTTTCTCAAAAGAAATATACCACTGGACTACAATGCATTCTTTTTAAATTCATAGACAAGATTTTTCATCAAGAAGTTTAGACCACTTTAGGGGCTAAAGTTTTTTCGTGAAACCAGCCCTTGTTGAAACAATTGCTGTGTGGCTGACTACCTGCACTGTAAAAACAGTGTTTAGCATTTAAATACAAACAACACACGTTAGGCATCTATACGCATTTAGAAATCTGTGTAAATGCTAAACGCGTATAGCTTTTCAAACGTTTCACAGAAGAAAAAGCTAGACACGTTGGCATTGTTACACGTTTAGCTATGTGTTTAGCTTCACCGGCATATGATTCTATAACAAGTCTATCACAAGCTAAGCACACTGGCTAAGCACTTCCCCTGCTAAGCGCGTGAGGCTGCTAAACATATGGAGCTGCTATAGGTGTGGAATTCCTTAACGCGTGGAGCTGCTAAACAACATGTTTAGCTTTTCAAGCTCGTCACAGAAAAAAATGCTTCACAATCCCATATATATGATCCCATAACAAGTTTATTACAAGACTCAACAATTTTGCTTAACACTTCCCCTTGTAAACATATGGGGCTGTTGGAGGCGAGAAGCAGCCTGCTCGAACGCGTTGTGTCCTTCCTTGCAGTAACGTGTGATTATTTAAAATAGGCCTATTAAGTAATAATCCAAATAACAAATAACGTTTTCACGACGTTATCAGCTGGTTACATGATGGTGATGGTATAGAATAACGTCATGGTAACGTTATGGGTGTTTTAACTCCATGCAAAATGATGCATATGCAGTTTTATAAGCGTTTTATAACATTCTGGAAAAAAATTATTTAATGTTTTGAAAACTTTTTTTTATTAATCACCAAAACACGTCTTATGCTGTATACTACAGTTAGCGGTTAATTCCAAAATGGGCTTGGGTTATAGTCGGCGACTATAGCGGTGTGATTTGAAATATTCGGACTATCGTTACCAAAATAACCAGCATGTGATGAAAGCTTAAATAAACCATTATAATGAATACCCCACCATCATCCTGATGTTCTATTGTTCATTACTTCCGGAAAAAATAAATGAACATCAATACCTTAACGCATTTTATCAAAATATGAAAAAAATGTTTTAAAGTAAATGTGATAGTTGTTTCGTGTCTTTAGTAAACTAGTGAATTTTCCTAACTTGTTTTTCAGAAATATATTCCAATTAACTTCCTCGCAAGGTCAGCTAACACAAGGATGAATAAGTCCAGCTGTACAGATGATGGTGAGAATCAACTTTGTTGACGGTTCACGGTACCCTGTTATAGATAGAGATAGCTATGGCAGTTAAAGGTGACCGTGACTGCGCGCGCGCGCGCGCGTGTGTGTGTGAGAGAGAGTGACTGAAACAGTTGAAAACGTTACAACCTTAAAGTTAAACAAATACACCCTACATTTATTAGGCGTCAAGCACGTCAAAGCGTGTAACATGTTAATAGGCTAAACGTGCTTAGGTGCTAAACGCGTGGAAAAAATGAGACAAAACAGGCGCTTAGAAATGTGTCTCAGAGCTAAACACTGTTTTTACAGTGTGTAGAAGCGAACAGCTTATCAATTTGAAGAGAAATAATTCTGGACATTGCATTGTGTGTCTAACCAAAAATCCCGCTCACATTCATCCTTGAATGTCCCAAGTGGATTCTTAAAAAAATGAATAAATAGATTTTATCACTTCAACCTTTCTTATGCTAACTAGTTCTGTTTTTGAATTGCGTAAGTTAAAAAAATGCGACACCTCATTTTCTTTTCAAATATGATAAATAATCACTTAATGACAGGTTGTCAGCATCTAGACTCAGTTTGTACAACTGAATGACACGCCAAAGAGTCGCTCTTCGTGTTTATTTTGTTTCCTTCTCTTGCACTGCAATTAATCTCTATAAATATGAACTATTATTCTTTGAGACGTACCTCACTTTTTTTTTTACACGAATCGCATTTTTTTTTGTAATTGTAAGTACCTTACACGTAACATGGATAACGATAAGATAAGATAAGATAGGATGAGATAAGATAAGATAAGTTAAGAGTTTATTTAGTGAATTATAAAATTCGGAAATCATTTTCCTTTTTGGAGCAAGTTTGATAATATACAGAATAGGTGTAATACAATAGATAAATTAAGAATTTGGTTTTGAGATCAAATTAAAATGCGTTACTGCACTTGGATAAAAGCTGTTTAAAAAGCTTTTACTCCTTTTAAAAGTTTAAAGTCTACTATTAATTGGTAAAAAGGTAAAAAGTGATGATGCAGGATGAGAAAAATCTTCCATGGTGTTAACAGTTCTTTTCTTCATTCTGTCGTTAAAATATCATGGGCAGATCCTGCCCGATTACATACACCTTGCTTGCAGTTTTTACAACGTTGGTTAGTTTATTTTTTCATCCCCAGTTGTTCCGCTATACCATATTATAATTCTGTACGCCAGGATGCTTTCAATTACACACCTATAAAATTGACTAAAATAGGCTCGCTATCAGTAAAAGTTCTCAATGATCCTAAAAATATAGTCTTTGCCGTACCTTCTTTACACTCCTCGCGGTATTATCTTTCCAATTAATTTTACTGTTCATGCGTATACCAAATAGATAAAATTCCTCTACCCTACTTACTTCAACGTCTCCAGTGTTCAGTGGTGCCTTATCATTCTGATTCGTTGTAAAATTCACTATCATTTCTTTGGTTTTAGCTACGTTCAAAATAAGATCATTACTCTCGCACCACCTTACCACCGACTCAACAGATTTTCTATGTGTACTCTCGTCATTATCAGTAACTAGCCCCACAAGCGTAGTATCATCCGCAAATGTCATAAGAAAATTTCCGTCGCTTACAATAGTACAATCATAGGTAAAAAGGGAGTAAAGACAAATTGAAAAGACGCATCCCTGTGGTGCACCGGTATTTAAAACTGTTGTTTTTGAGATAAATAGACGACTTAAACAGATTGTCTTTTATTTAAAAGAAAGTCTAAAATCCAGTCACAAATAAAAACAGGTAGCTCAAGATGGTTAAAATTTTCAAATACAGTTTTATTGGCACAATTGTGTTTAAAGCTGAAATGTAGTAAATAAATAAAATGCTAGAAGGGTGTAAGAAATGAACTGACCAATGCTCAATACTTAAGACTCTCTCCATAAGTTGGGGAAGTACAGGGCTTACATGTGCATTAAAGGACAGAGCTCAATTACATAATCAATCGATAAAATTTAATTGGAAAAGTGGAACTATCAAACCTCTCTCTCTCTCTCTCTCTCTCCAGAGAGTCACTGCAACTATGGGTGGCCTTTAACTTCAGCATGGCACCTCTTTTGATATTTTTTTTTATATCCACGGGCTTGCATCATTTTCCTATTGGCACGTGAGTGGTTTGATAGACACCCCCCCCCAATTAACACGCGTAAAAGAGCACATTATTTGCCTAAATATATATATATTTGGCATTAGCGCCTTGAGCAAAATAACAAATACATTTTTTTCTGGTTTTCTTGGAAGGATTTTACACCTTTTTTGTCGTGCTGTTCAAATTACCTAACGATTGATCAGATACTTAAAAAATACTTATGGTTTTTAGCATTTCTTCCTCGTTGTCAGCACATTTTTTGGAAACACTCCCACCTCATCAATTTATGGAAACGCTTTTTATTTCTGCCTATGAACTTGGCAGACATTGTTCAATCTTTTGTATGGAAATCTTGTTTGTCAAAGATCACTTTTCGTGCTTTGCATTTGATTTATTTCACCTTTTGTATCGTGTGAATGTTTGTTAAAATCACCCAACCATTGATCAGATCCTTAAAAAATGCTTAGGGTTTTTCCATTTTTTATTCTGGTTGTCGAAAACTTTCCCACCACATCAACATATGAAAGCGCGTTTTATTTCTGCTTAAAAAACTTGGAAGGCATTGTTCAAAAACAACATTGTATCGAAAACCTGTTTGTCACGGGTCTCCCTCCGTGGTCCAGCTATAAAAAGGAGGGTGCGCCCAGCTCGCAGCAGACGGCGAAATCGATCGGTCGGAAAAAGTAAAGCCCTGAGTGCTGCTCTTTGCTAGAAGAATTTTGATATTCTTTCAAGATGCTGCCAACTGTAAGTGAAAAGTCTGCCGAGCCAGGCGTGACAGTCATCACAGACGGTGGGTCCTCAGGACGTGACAGCGCCGAGGTAAGTGTTTCCACTTTTGAAGATGTTTAATCCAGGAACTTTTTACTCTAACTAGGGTCTTTCCACAAAAAAAGTGAACATTTGAGTCGCATCAGTCAATTTGCTTTTGTTGTGAATATTAATCGTTTTTCATTTTCTTTCTTTCACACATATTTTAGTATGGAATTTTTATGTTTTAGCAAAATTATCATGCTGGCGGTGAATGCAATTAGTGAAAAAAGACGACTGTAACATTAAAAAACGCTATTTTACGTCTTGTGTTTTCACAACCGACATACAAATGAGAGGTCTGCATTTACATATGCTATCACAATGTAAGCACTTATGATTTTAAAAAACATTTTCGAAAGTATAGATAAACAATAAAATTAGACCGCCTTCGATAATGTAATTTTTTATGATAATGAATATAAACATGAAGAAATTCTGACAGAATCCCATTGTCAAATGATCAGTTTTTGTGAATCGCCCAGACTTTCAATGCAAGGTATAAGTAGTTGCACCGTTTTTCAAATTTTTCATAAAATTATATTTTTATATACCGATAGTTGCATCAATTTCTTTCAAACGCTTTACAACACAGTTGGCGATGAGATAAACAGTCATATTCCTAGTTTTCTTTTGTTCCAATTCATCTTTTGATTTGTTATATTTCAGACCAAGGCGTCGTACAAGAAGTACATCATTGTTGCTGTTGCTGTCATTGTTGTTGTTGCTGTTGCTGTCGGTGGAACTTTGGGAGCAGTTCACATCTCTAACAAGACAGCACAAGACGTGTGGAAGGTAGGTATACTGTATCACTAAAAAGAGGGTGATTATTATTATTATTATCATTAAAAATATTTTTTGCTAATTGTCAGGATGTGTTGAAGGTAGGTATACTGTATCACTACAAATAATAATAATAATAATAATAATAATAACAATAATAACAGAATATTTGGGAATTCTGCTTATTATAATTTATGACACATACAGATCACTTTAGTAAAAGCTTAAATTTATTAAAAACCCTCGAACGCGCATAAAATATCTCAATTGCAAAACGTATCTATCTGGTTTTAAAGGAAATTGGTGGAATTATATGCAAAGCAGTGAGCAATCAAAACTAACGATCTTATCACCATCATCACCTTATGTGATTATTATTATTTCTTCAGGAGTACAATCTCCGTTTAACCGACAAGCAAGGGAAGAAAGTTGACGAAAAGGTTCAGGTTGATCTGAAGGACAACATCACCGTGTACAACGTGAACAACGAGAAGTTCCACGTAGCCATGGACAACTCGAGGGTAAGTAGAGGCGATCTAACTTTATTGTGAAAATTGTTTATCAAAGGAGGATTATTTTGCTTATACTTTGTCAGAATGCAAACAATGTTAAGTACCTCTAAGCTGAGATCTGTAGAATTTACTGGATTCAACGCGGTAACATGTTTACATTTATGTGTCACTACCTTTCAATTTTGATGTGTTTCATATGTCAGTGAATTAATTCTCTTGGCTATGTCTATATTCCATTGATTAATACCTGTTTTTTATCAATTTTTTCAGCAAAAAAAGAAATAAATAAATAAAAATAAAATAATAATAATAATAATAATAATAATAATAATAATAATAAAATCCAAATATTCTTTGAGAATATCCCATTATTTAAAACAAGAGTGAAAAGCTCCGATTGTTTCTTTTTAGGGTCTGGTAGTATACAAGATGGAAATGAACAACAAGTTTGCTTGTTACTTAACTCCAATGAACAAATCTGAAGAGACCGACAGCAAGGACGTGGCCAATGCTTTGGAACAACCGGTGCGATTTACTTCATATTAATTCAGACTTTGAATCTGTGTTTACATCTTTACATACACAGTACTTTTAATTGTGTTTAAATATATAAAGTGGCATTTAAACATGTGCAAGATATGACTATAACTTAAACCTAAACTATACCATCATGTTTTAGAATACCGTCGAAAATACGACATCAGATGAAGATAATGAACAAAAACAATTCGTTGCCAACACCTCTCCGATCAAGGACAAGTCCTTCCTAAGTCCCAGAATGCAGGAATTCTGCAAGGATCTGGAGGCATACTGGCTTACTCAGAAGGACGGCAACACTGTAGATGGCGCCAGCACCCAAACCCCGGCAGGTACGCAAAATATAAATCTCTGAAATGCTAACCATTACCCGATGCAAAACTTACAACAATTACCATTCAGTAAATTTACTTTTAACTTTCTATGTACATGTAGAATCCACAATACATTAGGAACATTACCCTTCGATTATATTATATTATATTATATTATATTATATTATATTATATTATATTATATTATTCAGGAGGTGAACGCCAGAAGCGAGCCTATTGCTACTGGAGGCGTTACATATGCCGTTATATAAGACGCGTATGCATCAAGATCGGTTTTCGTTACTATTGCCGTTATGTATACTATTATAGATACTGTTATAGGTACAGATGCTACGGTAAATAAACGTTGCTGTGAAGCATTTGTTCATCTCAAAGATTATTGCAAAGCGTGATAAGTCAACTTTAAAGTCAACTTTTAAGTCAACTTTTTAACTTCCCGCGGCCGTGTGTTTCCGAGAATATTTCAGAGCCATAAGTGAAAAAGGATTAATCCACTGTTACATGAGTAGATATGATATAGGAACCACTAGTACAGAGTGACGTTTCAGAAAATTCCCCGTCAATAGTTCTCAATCAGCCACCCCAGTTTTGTTTTGTTTTGTTTTTCAATAATACCCAAGTATGCATTTTTGTGTGTAAACTGTCATAACAACGACAGTGAAATCAGTATTCCAGATAAATGAAAATGATGCATCATTTAGTTATTCTTCTATTAGCAAAGCTTCTATTACTATTTGTTTGTAATCGAAAAGATTAAGCAGGGTCTGACAATTTTGGTGAAATGTTCTTTTTTTTTGGATTTGCATCTATTTACGAAATCAAATAACAAAGATGCTAAAATTCGGCATAAAAGGTTTATCATTGTCTTTGATATGATGGTTCAAAAAGTAAATGGTAAAAATGGTACTAGTACAGAATGGTGTTTAAGATAATCCCTTCCGCAGTTCTTATTCAGGGCCCTTGTTTTGTTTTTAATAAGTCCCACATATGCATTTTTGTATGTTAACTGTTATGTCGGCAACATTAAAATTATTATCCTAGGTTATTGTTAGCTACACATTTTTTACTTGTGCTTCTTTTGCCTTGATTTTTGCTTTGTTTTAGAAAAGATGAATAAAAGTCACTATGTGACTTTTTTCTAAGTTGTTATCATTGTTTTAATGCCTTTTATTTATTNAGGCAGACAAAAATGACCAAATTCCAGAATATGATGTTATGGCTTTGTTACCAAAATGTATTTTTCTCGTTGTTGTGATTCAATTTCTTTGAGTATAAAATAAAACAAATTACTATCAAGGTGTTACTCCTTCGGCTTACAACAAAAATCGATACTGCATATCTGATTAAATCTTAATTTAATCGATGTATTATATGTCAAAGTAGAAAAAACGGACTAAAGGCCTTAGCCACAATAAACAAGTGACATTGGCATTGACACAATACAGCAAAATAAAATGTATCCGACAATTGCTTTTTTGACTATTTTCCTCATAAACATAGGGTTATAACCCTTTGTACTCCAGACCCAAAGACACGTTACATATACGGAAGGTTACATGTTTATAGTCATAGGTTTTTCGTTAGTTTTAATTAATGACCTTACCGTGGCGCACATATCTAACAAGATTCCATCCACAGACGATAACGGACTACTATAGTAGCTTATGAGTGTCAGAGGTCATTTCCGGTCAATTACAATACGCTTTTACAATTTGGAATGACCCTGAAGACGTTAAAAGCACCAGGGTATCCGAAACAGCACAAGATTTATGAAAAGTTAAAATTATGCAAGGGCCTTCGGTTTTCGTTTTAGATTACCCTATATGGATGACGCCATGTTATGGCTTTTCCGAATTGGCCAACGTTTAAGAATATTTGCCTTAAAACAGTTAATTTAAAGTCAGTCAGGTAAAGCTAGCCCAAGGCAGACAAAAATGACCAAATTCCAAAATATGATGTTATGGCTTTGTTACCAAAATGTATTTTTCTCGTTGTTGTGATTCAATTTCTTTGAGTATAAAATAAAACAAATTACTATCAAGGTGTTACTCCTTCGGCTTACAACAAAAAGTCGATACTGCATATCTGATTAAATCTTAATTTAATCGATGTATTATATGTCAAAGTAGAAAAAACGGACTAAAGGCCTTAGCCACAATAAACAAGTGACATTGTCATTGACACAATACAGCAAAATAAAATGTATCCGACAATTGCTTTTTTGACTATTTTCCTCATAAACATAGGGTTATAACCCTTTGTACTCCAGACCCAAAGACACGTTACATATACGGAAGGTAACATGTTAATAGTCATAGGTTTTTCGTTAAATTTAATTGACGGCCTTTACTTACCGTGGCGCATATATCTAACAAGATTCCACCCACAGACGATAACGGACTACTATAGTAGCTTATGAGTGTCAGAGGTCATTTCCGGTCAATTACAATACGCTTTTACAAAAGATAATGGAATAATGAACGAACTAGATACTTTATTATGCTATTGCACATACCCATTAATATACATCATCTCCATGGCTTTCACAATGGCCCAAGAACAATTTGAACGTTATATGAAGGCTACAGTGTATCCTGAAGTTGTCATGTTTAGCATGTTAAATAGCGCATTAATCTCTGTTGCACTGAGGTGTCCAACTGCAATTCAAATTCTGCATAACAAACGTCAAAGGGCGATTAAGCATCTTTTTTATATCTGAATCACTGGGGGCATCCGCAAACATTTGAAAAACTGTGCTAGTATTCAGATAGCCGTCGCTGCCCAGACTGTAATAAACCATGTCAAACAACCAAGGGTGAGGATAAAGGCAGGGGAGGGTTGATAGTAACGATAATAAAACATGTGTAACCCTCCACTACATAAAGAATCTGTCTGACAAATTAAAGAAAAAAGTGACAGTCCATAAACCATCCCCTACCCTTACTAACCAACTGGTCAATGCGAAGGACATAATAACTGCAAAATAGTTTTTAAACGTAGTAAACGATGTACGGTGTAAAGAAAGAGAATGCAAACACACACACAAACACACACACACACACACACACACACACACCACACATATGGGAGGGGGGGGGGGGCAAAACAGTGACTTTTGCTTATTTACCCGAATTGACCAATCTATATTAAAACTACAGTCACTCATATGGTACTAAGACGTTGTGTGATCTTTCCCAAGGAGGTACGGTTCAGGCGACGAATAAAAAAGACCTTTAATGAGCGATTGAACAGCCTACCCTCACCAAGCATGGTAGCCTAGATACGAACTACATGTACCATAACTGTGGGACCAGCTGTAAAGTGGGGCATTTTTGTCCTACGTCCGGCACACGCGAACTTTTTTTATGACAATACATTATATTAGCAAAGGAAATTCACTTCCTTTTACAGTGTATCTTACTTGAAAACGGACATCTTATCCTATCCTTCAATCGGCACATTTTATCCTATCCTTCACAGAGTTTCATATTCATTTTTGATTGTTGAAGGAAATCTGTAAAAGAGAAAAAAAAAACAAGAAACAAGAATATAAAGGGAAAAACAATGATGCCTTTTTACACCAACTATTTGTTCCATTTTCGGATAGCAGATAGGGAACGAATATCAAACCTCATGAATCTTCTCCACGTTTTTAAGTACGATCGCTTAATGACATGAGAACTTTAAAATATTGTAAACACAACATTTAATTTTCAATTAAAATTCCTTTTGTTTTAATAATTGCTCTTTGAAAGGTCATTCCATACTAAAACTATAACATCAACTTTGACTCATGTCAATACGCAACATATCGTGTAATATTTTCATTATTTTGAATTGCCTTTTTATTTTTATTTTACTTTTTTCATGTACTATCCTCCTATATTGAAAGAAATCAACAACGTTGAGTGGAGTAATCTCAGCCCGGGATACATCAACAAACAGGCTGAGTTAGTACCGTAAAGGATATATGCCGTCACCGGCTTCGTGGCCTTGCATTACTTTTGAATGGCTCTGGCATTCTCTCCAGTGTACTGGTATATTCCCTTGAACATGACATTTGCTTTGCCTACAAATTGCTGATAATTTATCAAATTTATGACAGATTGCCAGAAGGAACCCAAACAAGAACATAATATACTGTTATTTGAAGGTAGAACATGAAAATGTAATAAAGAACTGCCGAGCTAGTTGAACTGTGCATGGTATTTAAGTTGAACTTATTAGAATCACAGAGATGCAATATTGTGGGAATATTCCATCATTTTTCACAAAAAGTGAATTGCCCCGTTGGTTTCCTTCCAGAGTCTAGTAGTATACAAGATGGAAATGCAAGGTTGCTTGTTACTCGCCTCGACGTGGTCAGCGCTATGGAACAGCCTGTACAACAAACGTCATTATTTATTCAGTCTTTTTGTTTACCTTTTTTCATAAATGTTGCTGTTGATTGTGTTTGAAAATATAGATATAAACATATGAAAAAAATTGCAAGACATGAAAAAAATCTTCACATAACCTGTGCAGTTTTTCTTTTAGAACGCCGTCGAGAACACGACAGATGATGAAGATGGTGATGATGATGACCAAGAAAGCTTCGTTGTAAATACTTCCCAGATCAAAGACAAATCCTTCCTAAGTCCCAGGATGCAGGAATTCTGCAGGGATCTGGAGGCATACTGGCTCACTCAGAATGACGGCAACACTGTAGATGGCGCCACCGTACGAATCCCGGCAGGTACGCACAATACAAATCTCTGAAATGTTAACCATAACCCGATGCAATACCTACAACAGTAACAATGTAGGTAAATACACTTATTGCTCTGTATATAGAAGTTACAGGACATGAAATGCTGGCCGTTATTTCGATTTTGGCATCCTCTACTCTACTATACTCTACTCTACTCTACTCTACTCTACTCTACTCTACTCTATTCTATACTCTTTCAGAGAGCGCTGAAGTTAGTGTCTAGTTTCTAGTTTCGTTTTTCAAAAACGAACCTGGCCACCAGAAACTAGTGTCGTTTTTCATAAACAAACCTGGCAACCAGAAACTAGTTTCGTTTTTCAAAAA